GGCAGTATCTCTACAGTTAGATGCAGGAAGTTAATAAAGCAGGAGTAGAGCACACATGAAGCAATCAGTGATACAGATTCTTGCTGTGGTTTTATGTAAGAATAAGACACCTCAATCGAAAAGAAAGGCTAATGAGACAGGAAAATGAAATATCAAAGGGAGACAAAAAGAAGTGACAAAGAGGAAATTAAAACTTACTTGAATAAGTATGGAAGAAAACTTGTATGTCCAATTCGTTCTGCGTGTGATCCATCCACGAACATAAGATTGGATGGTGATAGAAGAGATAACTTTTTCTTTATAACTCCTCCAAGCTAGTTGAATTTTGAGTGCTGCTTTCAGCTCATGATGAAGGTTGCTCTGATGTCTCCTTACAGCTTTCTGAATGACGGAAACAGATTTCCTCAACTTGATGAAACGACTTCGTTCAACAATGAACTTGACATATCTAGCTACAGGTTTTAAGTTGGCCGATCTTTCTGCAGGAATAACAAAACTTTCACCAGAGAGCAACTTGTTGATCTGTCAATGGCAGTGAATATGCACAAACAAATAATTACCTGATAGATGTAAAGTAACTTCCTCAACATTTAACTTCTCAAGAACTTGTATATTTTTCACTGACAACCATGTCCGAACAGAAGCTTGTAAGAAGCAGATTGCTCTCATCTTCTTTCTAAACTTGCGTCGTGCATGAAGTCCCTTAATATTCGATTGTATGACCACAGCTGCAATTTCTGTAAGCAAGAGGTATGCTTAAATTAAATAATGGATAGATTCCGATATTCAATACTCTATCTACCAAGAAACATAAAAGTAGATAAATAATCACCGAATCAAAATACAATGATACAATCAAGTACCATCTATAAGAGTTAGATCATAACAAGGTGATAGATATCGAAAGCAAGCTTATACTGTAAAAGTTGAGAAGATTAGAAATAGATCTTTAATTACCTCGTTGGGAATCTGTAGTGCATTTGCTTGACAAGGAGCTTTGCAGAGTATCGTTACTAGCTTTTCCAACAGAATTTTGGTTTTGGTTGGCCATGTCCTGCCACCAGGCTTTGATTGCCTGGAAACTTTTCGTAGTATCTACAAGTAGCATCACACGTTTGACAATCAATACCAGTGATAGCTGTATATTATCATCAAGCATGCTTGCGTCATTCAACCAATTGTAAGAAGCTGAAAACTCTATAAGAAACTAGGGTGACAACTATGAGAAATGAAAAAAAATTATAAAAGGAAATAAAAAGAATGAAAAAGAATGAAAATCATTTCTAACTTCTAAGATCATATACTTTAGGGAAAGTAAGAAAGAGATGAATGGAAACCTTCTCCATTTTCTCTGTCCGGTTCCTCATTTGTAACTGCTTCAGAGCTGCTGCAACTGATGCGTGAATATCTCTTCTCCTGAGCTTGACAGCTAGAGCACAGCAACTTATGAAAGTTCAGTTTCTCCTGAGAAAAGACGGAATTTGTAAGATAACCTACCTGCTAATGTAAATCTAATTTCCATCCAGAAAACTAATCAAGGAAAGCCATATTTTGTTGGTAAGAAAGCAATACCAAATTCTCCTTGACGATCAGCTTTGATGATAGGAAAGCCAACAGTATAATCACACTTTGGTTGCTAACTACTGCATTATGTTCCAGTAAGTCACCAATCTGTAGAACCTATAGAGATCAACATGATTTGTCAAGAAAATGATAACACTAACGTGACCATACAGAATATGTTAGCCTAATTGAAGCAAATCATCTATTGGAAAGAAACAAAGGGCACCTTAGTAATTCAATCTTCATATCACTAGTAATCTTTTCTTCTAAACTGAAGAATAACTAGAAATTCAGGCTGAAACTATTACCTCAGGAAAACTTCCCAAAAGTGCTGTCAACTTTTGCGACAGAATAAAATTTTGAACTGCATCATGGTAATCGGTATTGGACATTACTGATTGAGGGCCTTGTTCACCACCAGAATCCTGGATATAAACATTTATTCAGAAAATATAGCACGGCATGTATTATAAGATGCGTAAAGAAAAATGTCCTAGGTAAACTTCAATGCATTTAACCTGATTTCGAGTCAAGAACACCTCATACCTCTTTGTGTAGACATGGACAGCAAACTTCTTGACGAAAATAGTAGTCAAGCAAGAACCATATCCCCTTTCCATCCACCAATGATGCAAAGCTTTCTAACTTGAAGTCATTCTTCCTGGTAATTGACTGAGTGAAGATTGCAAGACATGCAAGTATTGTACATGGTTAGATATATATTACATAGGCAAAGAAAGCACCCACAACTCATAGTAAGGAAAGTTATAAGAATACGCTGATATAAGAAGCTACCTGGATCCAGTTCAAGAGCATTTCCAGAGGAGGAGTAGACATGGTAATTTGATTATTCTGTAAAGAAACCCAAAAAAAATAAGAACTGATGAGAGAGAAAATAGTGTTACTAGAGAAGTGTCACCATTAAAGATCTGATTGAGAGTGTTCTAGTAAAAGCTACATCCAGATTCAAATAACTAACAATGGCTAAAAATTGGAATAAATTATCAGAACCAAGGAAATTAAGTGAGCCTTAGCCTTACCTGTTCCAGCCCTTGGACTTTGTAGATTTCCTCCGTCAAGAGTCTCCCATTGATCAGAAGAGGCAGCTGCCCAGTTCAAAGAGTATAAATATAACCAATGAAAATCAGACGACACGTGCAGCAATCCACCAAAAAATGGACAGAGAAATACAAGAGACACTCACCTGCAAATGTACAAAAATGTTCCATAGCAGTGAAATAGTGAGCTCTCTGTCACCATCTGCAACATCTTCCCCAGTTATCATCATTCCCTCGTCATCTTTTAACGAAACTCCAGCATCCCTCAGATATTGAAGTGCAATTCTACAATTGACCAAGTTCTTCTTTCGATTGTCGGATGGAACTACCATTTTCTGTTTGATCAAAAGCCTCATCAGATCAAACTAACTCCCTAAATAGGACAAACTGGAAGTTCTTGATTAAAAATCAATATAAAGACAGACCGTGAGAATAGACGGATCATGAAGAAGTAGTTGAATAGCTCTGCAAAGCCGCACGCCATCTTGGAGGTCACCAAATAACTCTCTCACTCTAAAGTCGTATTCAACTATAGGAGACTGCAAGATCCATTCCAGTTATTGAACTTATCGAAACATCATATACTTAGCAATCAAGATCTCCTATAAGACATTGCATTGACTCTTAACTAATAGTTACCTGCTGATAAGGTATTTTGTACCCTATAATCACTAGATGCGCTAGAAGATTCCCTTCTCCATGCATTACATCAGAGGACAATAATTCTATGTTCAAAGCAGAAAATGGAAAATTAGCCGCAGTAAACATGAAAAAAAGCAAGAAAACTGACAAACTAAACAGCAAAATCTAAGAAAGTACCACATATAAGTTGGTGGCTAGACTTTATACTAGATTTTTCTGAGAACATGAGGGGTGAACCACCATCTATCCCATCAATACCATACTTGAGGGAAAGGCAGCTTTGAGATTTAGCTCTATCAATTACAAGAACGAGCAACAGAATCCTCTTCAAAATCACATTTCCAAGGGCTTCATAGTACCCTGGTCTGTACAATCCCTCAACCATCTTGTTATAAGCATAAGCTCTAGCAAGGCCATCATGAGAAAAGAACTGCTTATTAATTACCATCTTCAAGAATGCCATTTCTTGATCTGAGTTAACTTCACTGTCAGACAAAAACGAATCACCACCAAAGATGATATATAACCCTAAACGAAGCCAAACTTGGTTATAGCACATCAATGCCTTGATGGCCTTCTCCTTCATTCCAAAATCAGTTACAAGAGGGCATTGTGATTTCATTTTTATCCTCCCTTCATCTATATTCTGAAACAAGAACAATTAAGATTTAACCAACTTAAAATTAGCCCACAAACAGTATAAAAGACACTCTCTTGATACACATGGAGATATGTTTACCTTGGTAACACGGGTCATGACATCAAAAATCTCCTTGCAACTTCCCAAACTCAAGTGAAATTGCATTCTTTGCTTCAAATCATCTAAACTACACACATCTCTTAAAGATTCCCTCAGCGTGGAATACTTAGAACCAGTCAAGGAAGAGCCAATCTCTGAACCTTTTTTCTCACCACACCAACCTAAATTCCTCAACCTTTTGGGGCTTCTCCACATTGTATCAACTCCCACAGATTTACTATTTCCCAAAGCCTCACCACTATCTCTCTTCCCCTTACCTAAATTCCCAACACCAGAGTCATTCTCGAACGGATCACAACCGCAGTTTACGGGGTTTTCAAAGAGAAAATTGAGCCACACAGTAAGTGATTTAGCAAGAGATCTAAGACTCTTCTCTTTCGTCAACTCAGCCTTGCGTGAAGATTGAGATTGCTGAAGTTCAAATGCTTTAAGCCGCCTCGAAGAAGTTGAGACCTTAGACCGAGATGTATAAGAAGGAACCATGGACGGACGACGGAAGTTAGAAGACGAAGATTTTGGGGTTTGCTTTGATGCAGTGAAGAAATGCGGATACGGAGATTTACTGAAATTCGAATTCACAACTGAAGAACGCCGCGGCGTTTTGAAATTGGATATGTCACTGAGTAACGATGACGTAAGATTACGTGGCGGCGCCGGTGAAACGCACGGCGGTTCATTTTCATCCATCGGTGAAGAAGAATCGGAGATTCGTTAGAGAGAGAAAGAGTCGTTTGTTCAAATTCAAAATTCGAAAGACAAAAAAACAGTAAACACTAAAAGGTTTTTATTCTAACGGTTCCAGAGAAAAGGTTGGAAATCTCGCCGTTTTATTTTATTCGATATGAACGTCATGCCGTTTTAAAAAGCTAAAAACGCCGAGGCGTTTGAAGATTGTTTTTTTCCTTTATAGAAACGCTGGCGTCAGAAGCTTATTATGATTGGTTCGTGTAACCCACGCGCTTTCTTATTCGTTGAACTACTGTCACAACAGATGAACATGCGGAAAGAAAAAAAAAGAGCGAACCTTTATCAGTCGCTTTCGTTAATTCAAAGCTTTAACGTAGAAGAAGCTGATTTAAATCCCAAATTCATTTCAACGTAGAAGCTTCTACAGATTCGATTAGGGTGATTTTGTTTTGGTTTTGGTTTTTGGTAAAGCTTCTCCGTCACTTGCTCGGTGATTGAAACTAAATCGATTGTGATTGTGAGGTTAGAGAAGGAATTATGGCTCAAGCCGTAGAAGAATGGTACAAGCAGATGCCGATTATAACCCGGTCGTATCTCACGGCGGCTGTAGTCACCACCGTCGGATGTTCGCTCGAGGTTTGAAGTTTTCTGGCTCATTAAAGCCTTTAACTTTACTCTGATTGATCTGATTAGTGTTTTCTCTGAAATCCTCTGATTGTTGAAAATTTGAATCTTTGTGTTCCTGTATGTATGTGGATGGTTTTGTTTTCTTATGTAAAAGGCCGCTCTTTATTGGAATTTGGGTGGCTAGTGGTCAAGTTTAGAGCCAAGTGTGTGGTGTTGTGGCTTATAATGATGTAATATTTTGTGGAACATTTTTTTGCAGATTATATCTCCTTATAATCTCTACCTAAATCCTACCCTTGTGGTGAAGCAATACCAGTTCTGGCGTCTTGTTACAAATTTCCTTTATTTCCGAAAGATGGGTAAATTATCTTCAACTCTTGTGTTGGTCCTACTATTAGTATTCTGAGAAAAAATTTCTCATCTTGGACTCTTGTTGTGCTGTTTTTCATATGAAATAGTCTTCCGTAGATTACTAGGAGTGATCATGATCGCTAAATAAACTCACATAACTGCTGAGTAATTCATAATTTTGTCTGGAATTATACTTGTTAGAAGTGTCATCATATGTTAAGAAACTGAAGAGCATGTTTCTATTTTGACACAGTTATGTTTCTAGCTACGGATAAGGTCTAGCTACAACTTGTTGATAGGCTTTTAAGTCTTTGAAGATTCATTTTTTGTGCTATGCTCCCTGTATGGATTCATTTTCTTTGTAATTATCAATTCTAAGCTGACATGTTCTTGTTATCAATCTTTTGCAGATTTGGACTTTTTGTTCCATATGTTTTTTCTAGCTCGATACTGCAAATTGCTCGAAGAAAACTCCTTTAGGGGAAAGACTGCGGATTTCCTTTACATGCTCTTATTCGGGGCAACTGTTCTAACTGGTATTGTTCTCATCGGCGGGATGATACCTTATTTGTCTGTGTCATTCTCCAAAATCATCTTCCTCAGCAATTCATTGACTTTCATGATGGTAAATTCTATCTCTCAAGTCTCAATACCGCAATTCATACCAATTCTCAAATGATTTTGAAGTCATCTCAAGACCATCTATAACACCTTTCCTATGTTCTGTAGGTCTATGTATGGAGTAAACAAAATCCTTACATCCACATGAGTTTCCTTGGCCTGTTCACTTTCACAGCAGCGTATTTACCATGGGTGAGTTGGACTTTTGTATTCACCTCATGGAGTTCCCTAACTAGATTGATAATTTAAATCGCCCTCTTTTACCAAATTCTGAAATTACAGGTACTTCTTGGATTCTCTATCCTTGTTGGTGCAAGTGCATGGGGTGATTTTCTGGTAGGCAATCTCTCCTAAATCGATTTCACACATTTCTTCTTCCCTTTCTATGCATCATCATCCTTATCCATAAGCTTTATCCAAATTTATAGGGGATGATAGCGGGTCACGCATACTACTTCTTAGCGTTTGTGTATCCTCGAATGACGGATCGACGTCCCTTGAAGACTCCATCTTTCCTCAAAGCCCTATTTGCTGATGAGCCAGTCGTGATTGCACGGCCAGAAGATGTGAGGTTTGCTCATGCGCCTTTTGATGAAATCCACCAAGACTGAATCTTGATCCTCCACAAAGCACCAGCCACACTCACAGTTGCAGTGCATTCAGATAATGTTAAAAGGGCATCCATCGACTCTTGACCTTTATAGTTGTGGATAATGTGGAAGTGAGATGGTGTTGGGTCTGATTTTTTCCCTTGTTTTCTGTTTGATTTTCTTGTCCGATACAGCTTGACTCCTTGTGCATATGAACTCAAATTGTGTACAAAGTCTTCAATGTTCTAGTTTATAGTTCAGTCAATAGATCATTTGACAATGTCTCACAAAGAGATTCAATTCTTATGTTTAAAGTTTTAACTACACAACTGGGACAACAAGGGAATGACGCAAACAAAACCAGTAAAAGCGTCTTGATAAGTCTAAACGATTTGGTCTTTGAGTTTAATTCATAGGTAGTAATGTTTCATCTCGTCATCTTCATCATCCTCATCTATGGCATCATCACTGTCTTCTTCATCTTCAACCTGAAAGTCCTCATCATCCTCCTCTAGCATCATCTTCTCTGTTGCGTCTCTGTCTTTCAAACCAGTGTTTAAAACCACAGTGCCTCCCTGAGAACTCTCCATATCCTTTCTTAGTTTCTCCATTTCATGTTTCTTTCGTTCTTCTTCCAACCGCTCCTTGTCCGCCTTTCTCATATCAAGATCAGCCCTGAAATAAAACACAAATCATAAGCATAGAACTTGCAGACGAAAGATGTCGAATTGAAGAGAAGAATGCATCATTACTTGTAAGTTTCCATGTATTCCTCAGCACTTGCTTCAATGGCTTTGAAGAAGCCATCCATTCCAGCACCAGAGATTGCAGAAACACCAACAGATCTTATATTCCGGTAGAACTCGTAGAGTGAAAGGGATAGGCTGTTAGCTAAGGTCGCCGTGTACGAGTTATCAGTCTGTATCGCTGCTTGAAAGACCTCGAAATCTTCCATCCACTGCATAAACCCAAATCAGTACCAAAGGATTAAAGAGAATATTACAACAACAAAAATAAAGTAGACAATAAAAGAAAGTTCACCTCCAAGGCAAACTTGTGATCAGCCACATCGGTTTTGTTGAAAGCCAAGACAAGAGGCAACCGAGTCTTGTAGAGAATACTACAAGCGTAGAGCATGTTGCTCATAAAAGTGATTGGGCTCGAGGAACGTGGGGTATCAACCACATAGGTGACAACAGTGGGGAAGGTTGAAGCGAAAGCTTCAGTGATTATAGCCCCAGAAGCAGACCATGTAAAGATCTCAATCTGACCAGGAGTGTCCACAAGGACATAATCAAGCTGGTCTGCACGTTTCTCAATCACAGAGACAACCTAAAACAAGTAGCAAACAAAGACAGATCAATCAAAACAATAGAAAAACCGAGAGAACCAACACAAGGTGAAAAGAAGTCATCATCAGGACCAATTCCACAGGCATGTTTACCTCGTCGAATTTAGTAGCAAACAAGTTTAGTGACGTAAGAATTCCACCGTTAGGCCCCAGATTGTACTGTTTCATAACTTCCTTGTACTTAACAGTGTCTCTTATATCGATGTTGGCACCAAATGGTAGAGACATAACAGCAGGGTCAAGGTTCACCACATAGCCACGGCTCTTTGAATCAAAAGTATGACAGACCAAGCGATGAAGGAAGCTAGTTTTTCCGCTACCTACACGCATTACAAACAAATAACTCACATCAAACTAATGAAACTCCTTGACATAGTGAATTTTCAAGAACATAAGTGAAAATGAAATTACCTGCCATTCCAACAACAATAATAATGATAGGCTTCTTCTTGAAATTAGAAGATGAACTGGCAGCACTAACACGAAGGTTGTCCATTGAGTCAACCAGCTTTTGACTCTCTTCAACAATGTCCTTTACAAGTAACAACAACAACAACAAGAACAAATTCATTTCACAGGTTTTTCAATTTGTTCTTTTGCTAATAAACAGCAACTAAGAATAAAAATCATGAAAGTGATAAGAGATGAACTCATCACCTGTTCACTAGACGACTCCATAGGATCCATCAGTGGCAAAATTGCCTTTTTCTTTTCTTGTATGAGAGAACTTTTAACTGCCAATAATCCCAAATACAGTAAATTCAGTTTCTCCATCACCAAATTGTTCTACACAAAATCTTTGTATATCACAGCAAAGAGAAAGACTAAAGAAGCAAGAATGACAAAGACAAAGCCAATTTTCACAAACTTAGTACCCCGAAAATGCCACAATTTCAATTTTTTAAGTTTCAAGGTTCATCTATGTGACTAGTTTCAAGCTCAAGATACTCGAGAAAACGCAAAGAGCAGAAACTGAAACTTGAAAGATTTTATTAAATTGGAACTAGAGTTGCTTAGATAACCAAATGGATTATTCAACATGTGGATTCAAGGATCGTAGCCTACGAATTCATACAAAATTTCCGTATTTCTTACAGTTAAAAAGTAACGAAACTCCAGAAAAGAGAAGAGAATCAAGAGGAAGAGGAAGACGAGAACGAGAGAGAAAAGACCTCAGTCGTCAAGGAAAACAGAGTTAGGGCTGCTGATTTGTGGTGTTGTCACTGCAAAATCAAATATAAAAAATATTAATCGTAGCAACCATTTTTGGAAAATCAGGTCCGAACAGAGACTAGGGCTTGGGCCTAGGCCCAATAATTTATTTGCTAACTGCACTAACCAGCCCATGTGATGCTAAGCGGTAAAAGTTTCTTAATCCACCATCGGCTTACACAATATCAAACAGAAAATTACATAAAGAAAAAGATATAGTTGACAAAACCAAAGAAAAAAAAAAAAGGGAAAATGGTGAAGATGAGATTAGATAATACACAAAAGTAAACATTTGTTTATTTTTACGCAACAGAACATAACAATCAAACATCTGCTCAACAAATGTTAAACCTCTTCTTGTACTACTGACCAAATTATTTCAAAGTAGAAGAAGAGCATTTATAATTTAAACAGACATAATAATAATAATAAACTACCAAACCAAAAGTCACGGCGGGCTACAACAACTAAAGCTGTAAAATCATTATATGATCGTGCATTCCAAAAACTCACGCAGATTCCACATTTCCACACCGATTTCTTCTTCACCTTTGATTTATTGCCCCAATTTTTATCTTCACTCTTCTCTTAAACATCATCAGACTCACCGTATGTTGGTTCAGACAACGGTTCTACTGGATCGGATGGTATTGAGCTGATACTCTCTTTGGAGGTAGCTTACGCAGAATGAAGAGGACTAGTGCCGATGGAAGTACTTCAACCACCTGTAGTTTGGTGGTTTTTTTCCAGTTAATGAATGAAAATTGAAACAGAGATTTAAGAGATAGAGAATTAATGAATGTGTAGTTACTTACCATATAGTAGATTAAGTTCAGAACCGGATGATCAAGAACATCAAGCGTTAAATCCTTGTCAAAAGCTGATACAGCCACCTGATGTTCGCATGGAAAACATTAAATAACTCATCACAACATAACTAAAATAATGACTGAAGATAAAGATTTCATTAGTTAGGTTTTATCTCAGAGCTTACCACAACGCATCTTATGAGAAAGCAGGTGAAGCATATCGCTGTCACAGATCCAACCTGCAACGAAAAGAAACGAATTTGAAGGCAAAAATGTATGTGTTCAAAGTTTTATGGAACTAAATAAGACAAATTATACACATACAGTATACAGATATACAAATCTAAATACCTCGTGGAGTTTCTTCCTTCTTCCTTTTGACTCGATAGGGAACCTTCTAAGCATGAAAAACAACCTATAGAATACAAAAATACACACAAGAAAAGAAGGCCAGTTAAGCCATTGAAGAGCTTGCAGACATTTTGATGATGACACATATGGAACAACTAAAACACATACCTTCCTCCGTACAGCAAGAAGCCTAATGCGGCGATGAAAGATACAACTAGAAGAGATAGTAACCAAAAGAAAAAGGTCAATATAGAGTTTAGATAAGAGAGGAGTAACAGTATTATAGATTGAGCAGTAACAGTTTTAGCAAACTTGCTTGACCAGACAAAGAACCTACCTGCGATAAATATCTTTCCAACTAACTCCACAGTGCTGTTATCATTTACCCAAATGTATGCCCAGATACCAATCTGATAGAGACATTAATTACATATCAAACTTATTCTTAAGTCTTTTGGTTCACGGAAATGTCTACAAAGGTAACTAAGGTCACACAGATTCTTAGTAGCAAAAAATGGCTACAGAGTTGGACAAGGTAGAAAACACGCACATCCAAAGTTTCTAAACACCAATAATTTCAAAAGAGGAATATAAATGGATCTCAGGAAACTCAGTAACTACAGCCACATTGACGTTAAAACGGAAAATAAAAACAATACGAATCAGACATGAACCTGAGCCAAATATACAGCCACATTGACGGAAATATACGTTATCCGCAGCTTATCCGTTGGCAAGCTTCTTGCCTGCTCATTATTGGCAACAAAATATGCACTCAGAGCTTGTTGGCAGGTTTAAAAGAGAGTCAACGCACATCAAATTATTCTTTTTAGGTACCTGGTGATATATCTCTGCCCAGAACAGCACAAGCAGCGTGTATGCCGAGAAAAAGAGGAGTCCCGGAAGATCCAATAGTACCCAGCAAAGAGCCTGCATTACCTCACAGCAACATTAGATACTCAAAAGACGCAGCTTTCAAAATCCATCGTTTCCAAATCAAACATGCAAAAACCAGAACTAAGTTGAGAACATTCTCACCTTGGGATGCACAAGAAAAACTTGCATGTGAAATCCAAACAGAACCGCACGAACTGTACACACACAACATAAAAAGTCAACAAAACATATTCCAACCAAAATCCTACCAATTAGCGAAATAGAAACCCAGATTAATCACCTCCATTGACGACAAAGTTCATAAGATGAAACACCTTCTGAGTGGTCCAACCATACTCAGGCACTCTCATTTGGATCCTTATCAGTTGAACCTACCAATCATAATCCCATTTTAAACAAAAAAGGTCAGAAATATGTTTGGACCCAACATATTGTATCCACAACTAACTAAACCCAGAAATAAACTACAGACAATCAATCAAACTATACAATGAGTAGTATTTCAAGCTCCATGATTTAGATAGAAAACGATGTTTCAACAACAAAAGGTCACCACTTTTGTTAAACAGAAGAGGAAAGATAGGTCAAACACGCAAGAAATTGATCTATAAACCTCAAACAAAAAACTAATTTCACTCCCAAACAAAAAATTTCATGAATTACGAAGAAATTAGAAACCATACAAGAGCAACGGCGGAAACAAGAGCATAAGCACCACAAAGAGCGAAAAAGATCCCATCTTGCCACTGAGTTGACTCATTAACATCATCCCACCAAGTCGTAATCGCCGTCGTTAAAAATCCAGCAATCTCCGCCGGCATCATCAGACCCGAATCCGTCATTCTCTCCTCCACGTTACCGGTGGTTGGGAGGGGATTAGAGTTATTCCCCAAGGAGAAGAATCCAGAAACCCTAATCTGAGCTCTTCAAAAATCCGAGAGACGAACAAAAGGAATGGGAATGAGAGTTGTTTGAATATCTGCAAACTCTCAACAGGTCAGATGGCAGAGAAAGAGAAAGAGAGAGATAGAGATGAAGGGAAGATCCAACGGCTGAGAATGATGCGATCTTTTCGATAGTGTAGCTTCTTCTGGTTTGTTCCCTCACACGTCCTCTGAATTATTATATCATTTTCATTTTGATTTTTTGGTCATTTAACATCCCTTTAACATTTGACCTCTCTTTTTTTGGGTTCAAATTTGTTAAATTTCATATATGCATGATTTGTTAACTAATAAGAATTATAAAAACAAGACACGTTTATTTTCTTATAAAAAGATAAGATCTTTATTCATAGGGTTAGGTGTTATTTTTTTCTTTATTGAAACATGGTATTGGAGAAAAATGTCATTTAATAGCCCAACTTTCAAATTGTGGCCATTTGGCACACCAACTTTACATATGGCCATTTTATACATGATAAAATTGTTGACTTCCGTTTAACGCATGACAAAACCGTTGACCAAGTCAAAACAACATGCCGTTAACAGATCCGCTAACACCCGTTAAAACCTCCGTTACTTCCCAAAACGACGTCGTTTTGGGCTTAATCGAAACTTCAAAAAGCTCAAAAAATCCCCAATTCTCAAAAATTCCCAAATCGATTTCAAACCCTAAAATTTTCGATTCTCAGCATTATCTTCCTTTGAGCTCGAAATCTTCTTTATTTTCATAAATTCTCCATCTTCTACAAGAGATATGAGTTGCAAGTCAAGTAATTCGAGTGTTCAAGATGGAGGTTGCGAGATGGATTGTGCTCCGCCAGCTAACTCTGAAGCTTCTTCCGTCGGAGGACATGGAACTCCATCTCCGATGACAACCTCTTCTTCTCTATCTAATTCGCCTTGCATTGCAGCTTCAATTACAGACACAATCCTCGATACGATTCACAATTGCTAGTACATCGGAGAATCTCTTTCGAAAAATTAGGGATTTGATTTCTGAGAGTTGGGGATTTTTGAGCTTTTTGAAGTTTCGATTAAGACCAAAACGACGTCGTTTTGGGCAGTAACGGAGGTTTTAACGGATGTTAGCGGATCTGTTAACGGCGTGTTGTTTTGGCTTGGTCAATGATTTTATCAGGTGCTAAACGGAAGTCAACGATTTTATCATGTACAAAATGGTCATATGTGAAGTTGGTGTGCCAAATGGCCACAATTTGAAAGTTGGGCTATTAAATGATATTTTTCCCCATGGGATTGTATGTTTAACTATTTTGAGTGAAATCCAAATTTGGTCCCAAAAAAAAACATGTACATTATTAACAATATTTTTTTCCTAATGGAAGAGATGTAATGAGAAAGAGAACAATATTTGTCACCATAGGGTAATTATAAATTATTTATCTATTTCCATAAATATATATTATAGTTATAGAAACATATTTTAAATGTTATTCTATATGGAAAATGTGAAAGAGTATAGTTGGGTTTTAAACAAATGTTCGAACCAGATCGAGAGCTTGAAGCTCTAGAACTTAGTGGTGCCAGCTTTTTGGTAGGTCTATCTAATCTTGTAGGAAGTTCCCATATTTCGATATTCTTGTAGTTGAATTTTTTTCTACTGTAGAATCATTGTCATTGTGACAAAAAAAATGTACATGAAGGATATTTTCATTATTCATTCTGCTAAAACGAGTTGATTCAGTGATATAAAGATTTAAGAATTGTAAAATTCTAAATTATTTATATATTTTAAATCGTGTAACACATGCTATAAGATATTGTTTTGTAACAAGGTGGATTAGGTAGGCGCCCTGTTCTAAAAATCCCCGCTTAATCGTTAGGCCTACCCTATCCGCCTCGATTAATGACTAATCCCTTAAAGAAATCAGTCATCCGATTACTCTCCGCCTAATCCGACTACTTCCCGCCTAATCTGATTATTCTCCGCCTAATCCGATTATTCCCCGCCTAATCTTACATACCCAGGTTATTTTTAGATTGCTAGTATAAAAAAACTTTTTATTTTTGTTATTCAATCATTTGAATTGGGAGTTTGTAATGTTTTACAATGATTTATGTTCAAATTTTAATAAAAATCATAAATTTATAATAAAAATCATAAAAATTTGTCTCAAAAATACATTTTTATGTGTTTACTGCAATTTTGAAAATAATATTGTATTAATATGTTTTAAAAATATTAAAATAACCCTAAAACTAATCTCCGATTAATCCCCGATTTTAATCCGATTTTCCGATTAATCGCTAGGCCCATGCCGAACGTCCGACTAGCGCCTAGCGATTTTTCAAACAAGAGGTAGGCGGCTTGACCGTGTTTGAGTGTCGGAGACGTGTTGGTGTTGATGATACTTGATATATCCAGAATTTGGTAGACATGAAAACGGGTGTACGTGTGTATAAGGGCTTCTTCGGACACACCTTTAATTGTTATATGAAGTAGTTCATACTTCATAGTATTATTATTCGAGTATAATTAATTTCGACAAAAGGAACAAAAAAATGAAACAAACAAAAAAACTGAGGAATCAAAGAGGCTAATGAAAGAACTTGTATTATTGTTATATAATAAACAAAAATTCAATGATATCGATTTTGACCATCCATGTGGCTTCATCATCACTTTCCACCTCAAATTTCGTCAGAACCAGACAAATCCTTAGCATCCCCAAAAGACAGCCAAGCCAAGAGATTATTTTCAAGACCACCACAGCGCAAATAACGGCTTTTTGTTGTTTAGAGACAGCGATCGAGAGATTGCTGTAGTTGAACTCAACAGCCATCAAAAACATTTTTCATTCTCTTCTTGATCTCTGGATACTCTGTGTTGCACATGACTGTGTGAAGATTATGATCTCTAAATCATAGTAGCAATGGTTCTTCTTTTCTTGTATCGAGCTCCATAAGCTGCAGTTGAAGTCATTAACCAACTGAAAACCATAGAACTCGAGAAGATCATTTATAACCAGAATTAAGAAACATTTCATTAGAGAAGTGAATTATATTTGGAGTTGTGTGACAAATATGATATCACCGTCTCTTCTTTGGAATTCAAGATGTGAGCTCTTACCAAGTTTTGTAATTAATCAGCATTCGAGTTTTGTATAACGTCACCTTCCAATCCATGTTTACTGCTCCAACCAGACCCAGTTTCAGAGTAAAGAATATATGTACAAGCCCAATTTGGTTTTCGCATCAACACAATGAAGTTTGCATGAAAATGTACAGCTAGGTAGTTATGTCCATTAATTGATATAGTTTGCATGAAAATGAAGTTGTAACATTGTGTTTCATAATTGAGCTGTAATGAGCTCAAATGAATCCTCTGAGCTAAAAAATTGCTACCAAAACCAGGAAGTTAATCTACAATAGCCCAAGCATTTCACTAAGAGCAATGGGTTCAAAACATATATGCAAATGCTTGATAAGGAGAACCACTTAATTCAAGCAAACTTAAAATTCGATTATGTCGCGATACAAACAAAACAGCATGACAATTAACTGAGGCTCTGCAAAATTTTACTACTATAAGTAATTTTTCGATATAAAAATCAGTTCATGGACGCAAAACTCTAAGCCTTGTAAGGTTCTTCAACCTAGTTAAGTTCTAATATTTTGGTTTGGAACTACACATGAGAGGAAAAAGAAGAGATCAAAGAGAGTACTTACGATGTAAAAGATCATTCTACACCATTGCAAGTGAAACACACCCAATGAGATCATGCATGCATTTGAAGACAAGCGATCAATACATGTTTGCAAGCCGGCCAAGACATGAACACCTGACGATTAATGAGGAAAAAAAGTACACTAGCATTTGAATATTGACTTTTTTCCCCATAGTTTAGAGATTTTGACTTCTTCCACGTCGGATTTATATGTACATGTGGAATAAACGAACTCAACGATATACCGACCGCAAATGCGTTTAAACCGGGAATATAACCGAATCCAAGTTTGAATATAGACCGGACTGGACCGGATCGAATTAACTTTACCATGCGTTACGACCAAACGAAAAAGGAATTCCTTGAGCATATTCTTCTCTTTTTTCATTTTTAAAAGTTCGAAAATATGCCCATTGACATTGTAATATGTAACACATTCACACATAATTTAAATTTGAAAATTAAAAAAAAAAACAAAAAAAGTTTATGAAGATTTCATTGTCTTTACCCACATAAATAATTACTACTCTCTACACACGCAAGCCCTTCTCACGATCACTCTTCAAGATCCTATAGTTGAAACCCGGAACTCGATTCTCACCGGAAACCTCCACCGCCGCGCACATACTCGGCAAAAACTTGCCAGCGCCACCACGAGTCTGCCGCTTCTTCTTTCTCCAATTAGTTTTAGAGAACCAAGAACTTAGCCTTGATGATGACCGTTCTCTTCTTTGTTGAAACGTGTCGGTGTTTTCTTCAGAATTACCTCTCCGTGGATCAAACTGAGGATGACATGTAGTGAAGTTTTTGAAGTAGTCGATTTCTTTACGTACAAGCGATCCGATAGTTCCTCGTGTTCCTATAGCGATTGGAGCAGCCATTGATAGAGAGTTTTGTGAGCAGCTTCTGCGTTTTCTTTTTGTTTTTCTTGATCAAGTAGTAATGAAGTGTTATTGAGATGCTTGAAGCTAAAGTAATAGAATATGTATATGTACTTTTTTATATGATGGCTTTGATTGGTAGGTCATCCATTTCTTTATCAATTTTCTTCTTTTTACTGTATTTAGATTGTTAGTTTACTTTCAAAAACCAGCTAATATCTCACGGTTATATATATGTGCTTCTTAAAATATTTTAATTTTTGTATATAATTTGGAAATTCATTATTTAACAAACCTTTTTGGAAGAATTAAGAATTTTAAGCGAATAGAGAAGTCGAGACCATGCTATTGCAAAAGGAACAACGCAATGATGCTCTACATAATGACACAAGGTTGTTGGAGAGAGGACAAAATTTGATTCGGTTGATAAATTACATAAACTATTTTTTAATTAAATATTCCAACAACCCATAATTTCTTTTCTTTTTTTTTGGCTACACCCAACTTTTTTTTAAAAGCCATATTACATACGTCTGACCTTTCTTTAACATTTAAATCATGATTAGCTAATTGAAATTCAATTACTTTTCCTTCTATCATGCCGTGGATTAATTTTCACTTAGATGGAGTACGTTTTTCCTTTTACCCTAAAGTCAGGGAACATAATAATTTCGATCAATCCCACTAAAACTAGAGAGTGCATGGTCTTTTATTAGTGATCATAATTATATAAAAAAAAAAAGTAATTAATATTCGGTTTTAACAAACCGGAGTAAACTACCAAACCAACCAAATTTATCACAGAACCAAGTTTCTAAAGTCGGCCCAAAACACATGTTCATTTCGGCCCAAACCGTAGATTGGCTCTATAACGATAAGTCGATAACGATGCTTAGGGCATTACCACAGCATCAATCAATAAACAATGGCTTCGCCGGCGTTAACCGGCGGTTACCGGAACCTCACAGCGCCGGTATCTCTCCTGCGCACTCTAGCATCCACCTGTATCACTACGACTTTATTTCGTACCAACAAATATCAATACAAAATCCCTCCACGTTTCATTTCTTCTCCAAAGAGATTCACTTGCTTGTCCTTACATAAAACCGATTCTCAAAATCAAACCACACTCTCTTCTTCTTCCACTTCTGGGTATGCTTAAAGTCTGATTCTTTTGATTCAATTCGTTAAAATTTCTCTACTTTACTGTGAAATTCAATTCCTTTATGTGTGTTTTTCCAGATACCCTGAATACAATCGATTGATGCCATGTCCTGCACATAATCTTCCACCAAGAATTGAGCATATGGTTGTTTTAGAAGACGACGTTCTTGTTTCTGAGTTTATCTCTAAACAATTAGATCTTCCTCCTTTGTAAGTAACTAACTCTTTGTGGTCTAAGTACTCGTATGTTTAGAGCTGAAATTGAAGTGTATATAAAGAATTTCATTCTATGAAGATATGTTTCAGATCTTATTCGATTTGGAGCTGTACATTACGCTCTTGTATGTCCTAAACCTCCACCAACTGCGACTCCTGAGCAAATTGAACTGTTTGAAGAAGTAACCTGTCCTTCTGTGCTAAAGAAGAGATCTTCTATTAAAGGAAAAACTGTTAGAGAAGCTCAGAAAACGTTTCGTGTGACTCATACCAATCAGTATGCTGAAGCTGGGACTTATTTGCGTGTTCACGTTCACCCGAAACGTTCTCCAAGGTATTTACACATTGTAAGGAATGTGTTTAGAAATTGGAAGCTTTGGTGTTGTCAATTGACTTGAGGCTGTTTTTTTATTAGGTGTTATGAAATTGATTGGAAGTCGCGGATTGTAGCTGTGACTGATTCTTATGTCATTTTGGATAAACCTGCCGGAACTACGGTATGTAATACATCCATTAGGCTTTCTTCTCAATATTCTTGACTACTGTAGTTGCGTTAGAGATCTTGCAAAAAGTACTTCATCTTGTGAATATTGTTGGACTAGTTTTATACATTATTTGACTGTAACTTACTATCAAAATGTGTTATTGTGTTCCACCTCTCGGTAATGCGGAGATATTTCCCTTCTTCAATTCCTTAGAAACTTCTGATTGTGGTTTAAATACTGAACTTAGCGGTTGAAAGTGTTGACCCCCGTGGGAATTTTATCAGGTTGGGGGCACTACGGATAACATCGAAGAGAGCTGTGCTACATTTGCCTCACGTGCATTGGATTTACCAGAACCACTGAAAACAACGCATCAGATTGATAACTGTACAGAAGGCTGGTACTGTCCTGTAAAAACTTTTTCATGCTTTGAAGTTTGTTAATTTAACATCTTTTCAGTAACCTGATCAAATTGCTTTCTTTCTCTAGTGTCGTCTTTGCTAGAACAAAAGAGTACTGCTCGGTCTTCCACACGAAAATAAGAGTGAGTTTGCTTTACAATGTTGTTTTACTGGAAACAAGAACAAGCTCTGCTAATACGTTTTGTTCTTGTCTTCCCTTTAAGAATAAAGAAGTGAAGAAACTATATCGTGCTCTTGCTGCGGCACCTCTTCCCACTGGAATTATCTCACATTATATGCGCCCAAAAAATATGGCTCCAAGACTCGTATCCGAAGGTAAACTCTGTAGAAATGTCAAGAATCATCAAAACATAATTTGAATATTCGATAATCGATTCTGTGGATCTTCCTAGCAATGTGAATATTTCTTGAAATGCAGATTCGATTAAAGGCTGGCACTTGTGTCAACTTGAGGTTTTAGAATGTAAGAAGATTCCTTGGCCCGATGCAGCTACTGAGAAGAAACACGATATTGAAGACTGTGGATGGACTTCAAAAGAATTTGCTTACGAGTGTACAATAAACCTTTTAACAGGGAAGACTCACCAGGTAGGTTCATCAACACATATCTCCTTAATAAAACATGATACTCATCTGAATATGTTGGGATCATCCAGTTGCTACGATGAATGGCTTTTCAGATCCGGGCCCAGCTTGCAGCTTGTGGGGCACCGTTGGTTGGTGATTCTATGTACATGCCAGCAGCGATAGCAGAAATGGTGAATCCTGATACCAACCTGTATGGGAAAGCAAAGAAACATTACACAATGGAGGAGAACGATAAGGACACTGCTGTTGCTGAATGGATTGATAGACATGGGAAGGAACCGAGGGTAGGAATCGGTCTTCAAGCTTGCCAAATCTCATGGTACGATGATGATGGCGAGCACTTCTATGAAGCTGGGACTCCATGGTGGAGATGAAACACACGTCGTGATGTGGAGGATCTTATCTAAACTTGCCGCAGTAAATGAGAGGTGAAGAATTTGTTTGATATACGCAAGAAAAATGTCTTGTTTATTGGAACTGATTATTAGAAAACAGCTTACAATTACATTACCCTCCTACTTTATGGAAGAATCAAATAAGAAAGATATAAATTTGTGTCTTCCTTTTGTTTCAGGCATCAATCATCTTTGGATTGAGCTCTGTGCTGGAAAATGAAGTTTTTGTACCAAGAAGCTGATAGTCTCGGGGTTCTCTCTTGAGTATTGAAATCGACATGGTACATACCGAACCTTATGGTATAACCGGATATCCACTCGAAGTTGTCTAGTAAAGACCAGGCGAAGTATCCTCTTACATCTGCTCCTTTCCTATTTTCACCAGTAGCTTTAGGGTTTTAGAATCAAGACATATGAGTTGTCTGAAGTTGAAGTATAATTACCTCATTGCTCTTTTGAGTGCATCTAAGTAGTTACTCATGAACTTCAATCTCCGATAGTCGTTTAACAATACTCCGGTATTGTTCTCGCCAAAACCTGCAAAAATGATGAGATCAAAAACTGTGGCAAAAATCGCAGAGACACAGCCTGAGGGGCAACATGCTTACCGTTTTCTGTTACATACAATGGAATGTTTTTGTATCGCTTTGTTGCATACATCAACATCTCCTCCATTCCTTGTGGATAAACAGAAAACCAATTTACTCCAGTCTGCATGCATCATTGCCAAAACCAAACAACTCAAAAATGCTTCTGAAAGCGGTTTATTACTTTCGATTCTTCAGTCTACATACCGGTTCTCCTAAAGGTAAACCGTCTTTAAGAGCTTTTGCATAGACAAAACCTTCTGCTCTCGAACCTCCTTTGCCTGGTTCACATACAGAATCCAGACAATCTTCCGCGTATCTGCTTGTGTACTGATTAATCCCAATGAAGTCTAATGTGTTCTTGGAGCTTTTAAGATCATCCGTTGTGAATTCAGGAAGATCTTCGCCGAGAATTTCTCGCATTTCTCTTGGATATCTTCCAAACACAACTGGATCCAAGAACCTGCATTTTCGCACTCTTTCGATTCAAAAGTCCGGTATTTGGTTAAGGTGTGAACAAGATTTCTAAAACCAATCAAGCTTACCAAGTCAAGTAGAAAGCTTGAGCTCTCTCAGCAGCTAATCTATCTGCTAAAGAATCACTAACCGGTTCAAACCAGATCGTGTTCATAACAATACCGATCTTTCCACTTTGTTGTTCCTAAACGAAACCAGTCTTGAGTTACACAGTTTTTAAATATCCAAGTACGGTTAAAATCTTGATATACCTGAAATTTTGTCCGGTATAAGGTTACGGCGGCTACATGTGAACGTATAATGTTGTGAGCGGCAACGAGTGGCTCTATGTAAGAATCACCACAAGAGCAGTTTCCAAAAGTATTGGAACAACGTGAAGGCGGGTAAGTTCCTGTCCGGTAACCCAAAATAACTTGAACGTTTGGTTCGTTGAACGTAGCCCAAAATTTAACTCTGTCCCCAAAGTATCGGAAGCAAATATTTGCGTAATGTTCGAAATCTTCCCTGAGACCAACAATTATCTTAGTTTGAGTGTATGTAACTACGTGTACATATGTGTTGTGTGTGTATCTATGTACCGGATTTGGGGATTTAGCCAACTTCCGTATCTAGATTCGAGTTCTTGAGGAATGTCGTAATGTGTCAACGTGACAAATGGCTCGATCCCTGAGAATGATTGTGTACTAAGTTTGGGGTGTTTTTTTCTTGGTCTTGAAAAATGTTCTCAAGAAAATCTATCAATTATATATTACCTCTCATGAGAATATCATTGATCATTCTGTTGTAATGATCAATACCACCCATGTTCACATCTCCAAATCTGCCCTCTGGAAACACAAACATAAGTCTTGAAAAGACAAAAATGTTTTTTTATTAAATGATATATAGATAGATGAAAACAAAATTCTCACTTGGAAGAATCCGAGCCCATGACAAAGAAAGTCGATAGCTATTAACTCCAAGATCTTCCATGAGATCCAAATCTCCCTGTTAATATAAAAATCACAACTTGTTTCTTGCTAGATACTTACTGTGAGATTCGTATCGAAAATCGATATTTGATGTATAGATTTACAGTTACTTACCGGATATCGATGGTAATGATCAACAGCGACTTTCCCATGGCTTCCATCCGCAATTTTTCCTATACAAAGACATATCAAGAAAGGTATATATAGACAGTTTCTTATGGTGACTTGAGAGACAAGAGTGGTAACAAAAACCCTAAAAGTTTGAAAACATTTTTTAGCTTAAATCACAATTCACAAAATGGCTTCATGAGATCTTTTTTTTTTTCTGCTGAATAATGGTTTCATGAGATCTTACCAGAGATGTTTGTGAAAACGTCCCAGTTGCTTAGGGTTTTGCCGTCGGTTAGGTAAGCTCCTTCATACTGAATATATATACCATAGGATCACTCACACATCAAAACTAATGTTAAAACAGATGATTGTATTATGTATACTAAGGATTGAAGTAAAAAGAAAGAAGAACTAAGAACCTGGTAAGC